AAGGAGAAAAATGAAACAATGAATGAATGGAAATCCAAAATCTCTGTAAATGTTCATTAAAATAAAATTTTTTAAAAAAATTATCCTCCTTCCACTTTAGGTAAAATCATGTCTGCAATTGTACCTAAAACCTTTCTTAAATCAAACTTTCTACCACCATAATTTGGTCTGAGATACTAAGATGAGTAAGGTCTCAATGTCGGATAGAATTAACTTAAAGACACAAAAGCGTATACTAAGCATGACTAAAGTCAACATCTTGGCAGAAATACTACATAAAGGCGGCTATCTGTGTTCTGCAAAAGTAATATTTTTAAGAATGTCATTAAGTCTATTGTGATTCTTTGTGACCCTGTAGAATGGAAGTGGTCCACAGGGCATTCCAGGCTGTAAGCTTTGCAGAAGCAGACTACCACATCTTTCTATAGTGGAGCCACTGGTGGGTTCAAACTGCCAATCTTTCACTTGGCAGCTGGGTGCTTTACTCTCTGTGCCACTGGGCTTCTAAAGAATGGAAACCTTAATTTAAAATAAGGAGATATTTCATTAAGACCACTAAATAGAAAAGCTCATGTAAGAAAATCACAATGAAATAATTTAGAGAGAATAATTTATACGGGTAATCTACCTAGTAAAACCAATTTAAGAAATATATGCAATTACTAAATCTTATTTCTATCACTATGTAAGTTCTTTGGTGGGGGTCTTTGTGTGTTTGGTGTTTTTGTTTCTTTTTCATAAATATGGCTTGCTTTCTTGTTGACAATGTGTCCTCTGTAACTTGAAATTTTTGTGCAGTAACATGAGTGTCTGGCTTTGAAATGTAGATTTAATGGCAATTAAGACCTAACAGCAATTAAGATGATATTTAGCAAGCACTCCTAAATGTTAAAATCTTATTAAAAATAGTTACTAGGGAGCAGGTAACTTTGGGGAAGGTTCTCTAGCCTCTGCCATTCACAGGAGAATTACAAGTACTGCAAACAGATCACAGAGAGGAAAACAGCTACAGCTATAAACATTGTAATTTTTAAAAATACTAATAATAAACTTGTTAAAAACAGCAAGTTAGTTATTAAATGCTCAGAAGTTAAAAACTAAGTGGAAGCAAGGCTCCAAAGAGGTAAGCAGAATAAAAAGAACAATAATCTTAAAGGCATTTGCCAAATCACCAACTACAACTTCAATTTTCATTGCAACCCTTATGTGGAATTTAGTCATTCAGAATCAGCAAAGGTTGTTGTTGTTGTTGTTATGATGTGCCGTCGAGTCGCCTGGGACTCATAGCGACCCTATGTACAACAGCCCTAAACTCCGCTCTGTCCTGTGCCAATCGCACTGTCTCTGACACTCCCATCCCAATTATCCCAGTCAATGAATCAATCCACCTCATAGAGGGCCTTCCTCTCCTGCGCCGTCCCTCCAGGAGAGGAAGGCCCTCTATGAGGTGGGAGTCTAAAACACAACACAAAATGGGGACCCCAAAGAATTATACGTAAGACTATAGGTAAATCAGGAATTTTATTTTTCATTAAAGGAATCTTCCTAATATATGATAACCTTAAAAAGCCAGTCTTTATGAAATTCAAATTAGTACTTTCAACTTTCCTGTAGGCTTAAAATTTTTCAATGTAATATGATGGTATCTTAGTTATCTAGCACTACTATTTAAGTGTATGGCTATAGAACTTCATTGTTTCACAGTTTTATGAGGCTAGAAGTCCTAATTCAGCGGCTAGTTATAGTGGAGCGCTTCCTCATTTTATTTCTCTCCCTCTCTTAGCTTCTAACCCAGGGGTATCTCCATGTATTCATCCCTAACCTCTGCTTCTTGCCTCTTGGACCTTTTTTTTACTCTCCAAAGAAACTGACGAAAAGCACATCCTGCACTAAGCCTGTCTCAATAACATAACAAAGAAAACTCATCCCAAAATGGGATTATAATCACAAGCACAAAGGTTATGATTTGAAACATGTATTTGAGGAGACATAATTCAATTCATAACAGATGGGAACTATAATTCTCATGTATAATTTAGAACGTGCACCAAAATCTATGGCCTCTACCCAGGAGGTGCCAGTTGCACTCCTCAGCTGTGACAACCAAAACTTTCCTGAAATTATTAAAATCACTCCAAATGTAACTATTCTACCGCTGCCCTTAAAATCACAAACTGTAGAATTAAGATGAAGAGTGGACACTTAGAGTATCTCAAATTTTAATAAATAATCATTAAGAAGTATGTTTTAGAAGCTATAAACTCACGAGAATGGGGAGAGGTAACTCTGGAAAATGGAAAAATGGACAAATTACTGAACTATGAGACTCAAGAAAGCAAAATTTAAACAAGGTAAGGTGAGGCCTGGGAGTGAAAGACGCATAGCTGAAACCCAACAAGTTTCAGCTTGCAAAATCCTTCAATACTAATTTGACTAAAATTCACAGAATTCCCTTCTTCTTCTATTGGCTGTATAACTGTTCTTTAACTGGAAGTAAATACAGGGATTTTATCTTTTAAGAAGGAAAATAAGCAACATTCTGGGTTAGGAGATAGCAAGCACAATGAGACACAGGCACCAAACAGAAAGCAAGAAGCAAAAAGTGTAAGGGACAATATGTAAACAGAGCTCTGACTACAAGACTAATAACTTTTTCCTTTCTGGGCAGAAGATATGATGATGTCCATGGGATGTGAGAAGCCCTAGAGGGGCAGTGTTAAGCATCTGGTTGCTAATTGAAAGGTCAGCAGTTTGAACCAACCAGCTACCCTGGAGAAGAAAAGTTTCTGCATAGCAGATCTATTCTGTGATGGCCTAGGGCCACTATGAATCAGGATCGGCTCAGTGACAATGGCTTTCTGGAGAATCTGACCAGTCTAAAAGCAAAGACTCAAAAGTTCTACCATTCCCTAATAAGTAGCTGATTCAGATATCCATAGAACAAAGTTCAAAATGCCTACCACTGTGAGAAAAAGAACTTCCAAGAGAGAATTCTACACCTGTGTCTTGATTTTACCTCCCATTTACAACTTTTCTCAACACGCTGTTGGATTTATATACTATTGTCACTTTGGAAATATCCATTCATTCTTACAGAACATGAGTAGAGTAGGAGTGCAATCTGAGACTCTATAAACAAATGACTTTTCTTTATTTACTGAAATATGTTATAAGGTCCTGTATATATTAAAAAATTTAATTCCTTTAACTCAACAGTTTTCCCTAAATTCTCTCAAATTACAAAATCAAGACAGTTTATTTCCACATCTTTCTAGACCTACAAATCAAAACAAAAATTTCCTACCATTTTTCTCACTATAGTTACCCATGAATAAGTTATCTTCCTATTCCCTACTCTCCTTCTTGAATAATTACATTACAGGCTATCATCTAACCAAAGTTATAGAGAACCAACTGTACAACAGGACAAGGAGAGGAAGTTATTAACTACAAAGAGCTCTTAGCTTCTAATAAACACAGGATGTGTAACCTGATATTTCCAGCTCTTACTTAACTGGATCTCTGCTTTTATTGTACAAGTTAGTTGTTCACTGAAAGAGCAGGGTGTCCTAAACAGAGGCAGGGTTCTCTCAGCCTACCAAACAGGAGGCTTTCATTTCATTAGGTCAACCCAATCTACACTTCTCCAAAGAGAACCAAGACACATCCTCCAGATTAGTGACAGATGGCAACACGCTGTAACATCCTCCTCAAAAGTATGGAGGAAGACGAAATCGGGGTAGGGTGAGAAGAGTAATAAGACTTGTTTTAAAAAAAATTATTTTAAAGTGACTTAACAGAGTCACAGAATAATCTAATAAAGAATATTGTATTATAATTATTTCCCCAAATGTTAGGGGGAAAAGATAGATAAACCAGTCTTGTACTTTTGACCAAATAGAGAAGGAAAACTGAGAAGTGGTTTAATAGGAATTCCAAACTGATGGAGTAGAGTTTCTGTTTGAATCATTTAAACTATTTTCTCCTTATTTATTTGGTTAGGTGACATCATCTATTTTCTTTCCTTCTTTTTCTAAAAAAAAAAAAAGTCACTATAATAATGGCTGAAGCAGAATCATCTAACATACAGAGAAAAGCATAGGCAGTAGGCAAATTTAATAAAATTAATTTTCAAACTAGTAAACATACAACTAAATTAACATTATCCATTATAAAGATTAAAAAGTAACTAGCATTGATACAAGAAGAATTTGAAAAATACTTAGTATCTTAGAGATGTCAAATGCTCTATATTATACTGATACTAAGAAACACATCTTTTCACTGCTTTTGTCTTTAAATAATGAAATTAGAAAGTTTGTTTATGGATTGGTTATTTTTTAATCATTCCTACCTCCTGATCTCCTAAACTCTGGAAATCTCCTTTGATTATGCTTGCATCCCTGGTCCAACGAGGTGGTTTCCAAGTTCTTTCCTGTGTTCCTCTGTTATAATAGTAACAACGCCCTGAAATATCTTTATGAGTCTCCCATTCTCCATTAATCTGAATTGCTGGGCTTCCAGGAAAAGGAGGAAGCGCAGACTGAGATATTTTCAGTTCCTGTAGATTAGCATACACAGGTGAATCTGGCCTTCCTTGACTTGGAGGCGTAGTTGCCTGTGAATAAAAAATATTAAATATTTAAGTTTAACACACTTAATATTTATAAATTAAAATGAAATAGTTTATTACATATGCATACTAAATTAATTTTAAAATACAAATACAAATGTATGAAACAACAATTTTACAGCTAATATTCAATCTGATGGACAGCAAAACAATATAAAAAAGCTTCTATACAAAGAGTAGGGCACTCTGGTGGCTTAGCAGTAAGGATTTGCGCTGTCAATGCAAGTAGCAGTTTGAATCCACCACCAGCCACTATGTGGGAGAAAGATGGACAATCATTTCCCATGTGATTTACTACCTCTGAAAACCTACTGTAGGGTCAACTATGAATGAGTTCCAACTATGGTATACAACAACAACATACAAAAGAATGCAAAGTATGCTTACCATTTTGCTTTATTATGAAAGAATAGTCAATTAAGAATCAGAAACTATTGATCTTAGTTCTCGTGTTAGTGCTAATAAGTTTTAAGATTACCATAATAAGCACATCTCTCTGCTAAGGAGCAACCTGGACTCTCCCTGTTCAAAACAAACAAACAAACAAAGAAAAACCCCACAACAAAACACCAAAGCAATCAAAGATGGAGAAGCTATTAGTCCAAAGGACTAAGGAACCACAAAAATTCCACAATCTTGAGATGAGAATGAGATGGTGTACAGGTAGGTACTACTGCAGACAGCTCTCAAAGGGATCACAACAGAAACAGTTCTTAGAGAAGAAGGGTAGAAACACATAAAACAAAACTCAAAATCATAATCTTTTTAAGAAGACCAAGTTTACCAGTCTGACAAAGAATGATGGAACCCTACAGACTATGGACTCAAAGACTCAGGTCTAGTACTTAACTCACAGTTATTTTCGGGCAAACAGAAGATAGGTCTTTATGTGAAAATAATAACACCAGTGCATCTACAGGATGTACTCCTTAGTTCAAGAAAAAACAGTAGCATTCTCTCAGAAATATAGCTCAGAAGGCAAGAAGGGACAACAAAGGCCAGTGGAAATGGTAAACTCAGAGGATGTGGAAAGAATGCTGTTACAATGCTGTTACATGGTGGGGACTACATTCAATATCAAGAAACAACCTCTATGAATTACTGAATAGAAAACCAATTTGTTCTGTAAACTTTCACTTAAATCACAATAAAGCTTAAAAATATGAAAAAGAAACAAAATGTAAAGATAGGTGTTAAATTTTAAAAAATTTGGTGATAAAAAAAGCACCCTACTCACAAAATTTCTATCTCCAAAATAAAATTCAAGAATTCTGCTAAGTGAAGGGATAAGAGTAGATCTCTATTCTTAAGGAGTGCTTTGCTTGCTTATTCGGGGCTTTTTTCCATTCCATACGAAATTGGAGATTGCCTTTTCCATCTCGTTGAAGAATGGG